TCCTTACAAGTCGCCCAACTACTATCATACATTATTATTATATCTAATGGCAGGGGATGTGCGATAGACTTGCCTCCACGTGGTGCTCCCTGGGCAACGAATACTCATACGGCAAAAAAGTCTATTAACTGGCAGTTGACTTCTAACTTCAAACTACCATGACCCCACTGAATGTCATATTCGACCCCTTCCACAGTACTTATCTAGCCTTTTCTCCGCTTTTGTGTCCGTCTGTCTCTTTTACATCTGTGAATTGCTCTTCTTTCCAACTTTTGAATTTTTCTCACTTTAATGTTCCTCCCTTCTGTGAAGCCCGAAGTCAACAAAAGGGCTAATGATAACTATTAAAATGCCTGTCATTTGAAATAAATAAATCTAATGACAGGCTTTATGACATTTATCATTAACCCCTTAGTTGACTTCGGCCTTCACAATGGGGAGGGAGAGGAACGTATATATAGGCTTTAGGTTAGTTAACAGTAGTTCATTGTTTGACTTCTGGCTTCCCAGTATCTCTGGGTTTCCGTCTTTGTCTTTAGAGCAGAACGCCGAATTAGGTGGGTCTTCTTCATTTCCTCCTGTAGGTCACATATGTGGGTATGTTGGTAGAGCGTATACTCCTATTCATACATAATTGTATTCACTCATCAATGAAAATCACTTAATGTTTCTCTATAGTCAGTGACACAGTAGAGAAAACAATACAAAAAGCAGTTCCAAAAAATGCTTCAAGAACAATGACCTTCTAGGAAATAATTCCATCATAGTTCGGGCAAGAATGCTCCCTTCAAAGCCACAAAGGAATGCGCTATTAATCATCAGTCAGAAAACGGAAACTAATTCACTTATTCACTGGGCTTCAATAATATCAAACGGAAGATATTTGAGGCAATGCTTCAGCTTTTAATAGAGACTGAAAGGGGGCCGAAGAATTGTTCTTTAAATGATGTTTTAGGAAAGCATGTCGAACGAAATTTTGCCTTAAACCGTTTATAGGCTAAATAATGTATACCCTCGAATGTGTGCATGTGTAAACTGGAACGGGGAGGGGGAGGGGGGGAGGGGAATGGAACAGGCACCGCATTTCGCCCCTAAAAGTGTAAACGCTTGCCTCAAAAGCGCTGACCCCATTCCTCATTTTCGTGTCATTCTTTCTCTCTCGCACACACAAATTGGCTTCTGTTATACAATAACTTAAGTCTACTAGCGCAAATTCTGGTTAATTCGTTGCGTTTAACATTTGTCATAGCCTTCGTATCGACCTCGTAACAAGTAATTGGCACAATAATGAAGAGACGGACAATGTCGAGTTTCCAATCGGGTAGACTCCAAGAACCTTCACCCTTCACAAAGTAAGAATGTACAAATATGACTTCACCAAGTAGATACTTAATTTACTTTTAGCGTCCTAATCCCTCCATGAATACCTGAATATCGTGAGTATTTTAGCTAACAGAGAAAGAGCTAAATGAGCTAACTTTGAAGAAAACAAAATAAGCACTAAGAAAATAACCTCTCGATGAAGTCTAGGAACCAGTTCTTCGGGTTGGAGGAAAGTGACCCTGCCAAGGCATTCAGCAACCACATCTCTGGTTCCTTCCTCCTTGTGTCCAGCCTGAGAAATGATGATACGCCTGAAAGATGGAAGAATTATTTAAAAGACAATGCACCTGTTAAGATTGAACTTCTTCTCTTGCTTCAAATTGAGCACTGTATGCCATATTCCACCACTTCCATAGTATTCACCTTACCTCTTCTCTAACTTTGTATCTGTCTGTCTCCTTTACGCACGTGAATCAATCTTCTGTTCCATCTCTTCACTTAGTGTGGCATTGATGTTCCTCCTCCCCTCTGTAAAGTCAGAAGTCAACTAAAGGACTAATGATGACTGTTATAAAGCCTGTCATTCGTTCTAAATGAATAGATTTTAACCTCCAAAGTCACAGAGAACACTGCAGTTCCCGAAGTCCGTCAACGACCAATTTGACTCTCACAATCCGAATTTTCCCAGCTAAGTAATGACGTTTTTCTCTATACCTACTCCTCATCACCTCTCTCTCATCGTCTCTTTAATTCGTTCAATATACACTTAGTCCCGTTCGGCTATTAGACCGCCCCCATCGAACTATTTTTTCATTCCGCCAATACTGATTGAGCGCGATGGAAAGCTGATGAGAAAACACACACAGGAATTCTGATAACAACACCATATACATATATTCTTGCCTTAACATTAAATAACTTATATTATCGTTATAACTACTAGTGACGCAATTAATGAAATTTAATCAGTTTGAGGATTGTGGCTTACCATAATTCGTCTATCCTCTTGAAAAGGTGTTCAGTTTTGCGTACTTTCACCAAATTGACGACGGTCTAAAAAAGGGGAAGAATTGTTTAAGAAATATGTGAGCCAACTCATTTCCCAAGGACCTAGGTTTAACCCGACAAGGTTACATTGCAGATGACTGTGGAACAACTGCGCAATTCCACCGCATTGCCCCCCCCCCCCAACCCACCATTTAGTACGAGCTTCTCAGTAGTCAATAATAACTAGACTTGAAACGCATAGAAAGGCCATTTTTCTTAAACTTCTACCAAAATACTCATCTTACTCCCATTCCGCCAATCTTGCTCCGATTAGTCAGCGCTGATTGAATGCTCCAGGGCAGCAAGTGGTATATAATAAAAATGTACACTTATTTGATTATTGACGAAGCAGTACTAGGGTCACTTGAATTTTCTTACTTTCTGTATAGTGCCACAACATCACACGTGTAGTTCTCAAAAGATATTTTGAAGATCATGGGTTCGCATAGGTCTTTTATTATTCTATGTCAATAAATATCATTGCAACTTCAGGTAAACTACATAGCAGTCCTGATACTCACACCTTTCCATAGACTTTTTCTCCTACGTTCTTTCCTCATGATGTAAAAGGGGGTGGGGGGCTCTTTTTCACCAATTTTTAATGGTTCCATTCAAGTACAACTCTGAGGTGCTAGAGATTTCACAAAGACAAGGCGATGTAGTTTCAGTGGAGCATCTTAAGCCCGCATCTATCCATGAATAATCACAGAATACTGTAGATATTTCACCACCAACTATAACTCAATTGAAAAAAAAAATATTACGTCAATTCAGGGAGCACAAAAGTGTCATAAAACTAGGTATTGACTTTAAAATCTGGAGTCTTGAAGGCGGGCAAGGTTTATGAGAGAGTGTGTGTGTATGATCAGTGTTGCTTCTCTTCCATAAGAGAGAAAGAGTAAAGCTTGGATAAAAGTGGTAAAAAAACCTTTTAGACTCGAAAGACCCCGATTAAAAGAATGTGTGATACCAAATACCTACAGATTATAATAAAATACCAGCCCCTTTGATGTTAGCACCTGTTAGTCGAAATTAAAAGCTTTTTTATCGGGAAGCATAAAGTTGTACGTTATTACTCGTTAGAACGAAATAAGTAACAAACCTGTTTTAGTGTCTGAAAGAGATAGTAATGCACAAGGTTCTGATTTGTACATCCATCAGCAATATACTCCGGTTCAAAGAACTGCAACAGTTCATGAATCATAGCCTCTGGTTCCCCAGAAATGATCCGACCAATCGATTCGGCCGCCAGCATTCGAAGCTGATAGAAGCCTCCATCACTGATTGTAGCTGGTGACTTTTTCTGAACCGGTTCCTGGGTAGGTAAGGGGGATGAAGAACTAGCACCATGAACTTCCATTGGTTGTGCTGTAGCCGGCTCCTTCAACTTTGCAAGGTATTCATCAGAAAGCACGCAGTCCTTCAACGACACATGATCCATCAGGACATCAAAAACATCCCCGAGATGACTTATGTCGCTGAAATAGGAAAATAAGTAATTAGCAACACCATTTAACATCGAAGATTCGTTATTCATCACAAAAATTCAACTCACGCTCTAGAGCCAATATCTCCAAAGATGAGTATATACAAGTAGCGTTTGGCAAAGGGAAAATCCTTTTGCTAAAATTATAAGGATACATACAGATGAAATCTCAAATGCATACCTTCAATTCACGACTCATTGTTTCTAGAGTAGAGTCCATTGAATTCAGTTGGCCGTATCGCGTTAACTGGAGGACTAACTCTGAACAAACCCTGGAAAGAGTAGGGATCGCATCCTTGATTTCATAAAAATCTTTGTCGGCTTCTAGGGATGTTAAGCGTGAAATTTGCTCCCCAAATTTCGTTAGCATAAACTAGAAGGAAAAGATCATTATACTGGAGTGCATATTATGAAGACAAATGTCTACTGTTTCAATCATATTAAGAATTTAAATTTTGGATTTATGAAAATTGCTCCAAAAATCTTGATAGATGGTGTAAATTAGATTCGTCGCTAGCGCACGGATCAATCGCCCGCTCTCAAAATTTGAGATCACGAAATAGAGCAATTATTGATTCACTATGAATAAGCGGAAAGAACAATAGCCCAAATTAAGTTTCACTAATAAGGCGATAGTGAATTCGAATTCTTACGTGGGAGACTTCATAATATCAACCCCATCCCCCACTATTCCCAAGACGAGTGTTGGAAATTACTTTCTCATGTGAGCCTGAGAGGTTGACATTTTCCTTAACTCAATCGGCATCATTTCACTAATATAAAAAGTCACAAAATCAATCACGAGTAAACTGGCAGGATTTTAGACATCCAAATTTAGATTTTGATTTTAGAAACAAAAAGATAAAATTCAGTAATAAAACTCTATTCTAACAGAGCAATTGTGGAATGGATATACCAGCATACCGCGAATATACGATATGCTGAAATCGATTTCAGTAGAAACTATTTTTTAAACTCACCTGGACACTAAGAGAATGATTCGCAGGACTAAACATGCCAATACTCTGTGCAAGATGCACTAAAGCAGTCAACAAAGCTGGTTGGGTGATATTTGAATTAGCCAAATTAACAACTGGCTCAAGGAAGTTCTTTTGCATGTAGGAATCAGCCACTTTGAGTTGTTGCACAACATCAGTTTTAGCGCAATTTTTCAAGAGGACAGAAGCCAATTCCAAAGCTTCTTGCTGTATCTGTGGGAAGGCAGAGTTTAAGAAGAGAGGAAGCTGGGCAAGCACGCCTGAAACATTATCATTGCTATTTTCGTTGAGAATAAAATCGCGGGGGAAGGTGTTGCAGACCTTGGTGAGACACTGCAAGATGGCTACAACAAATTCGGTACCGGGACAATCTAACATGGAAACTAGCTTTCGCATAACTTCTTGCTAAAATATGAAATAAAAACAGACGTCATAATTAAATTACATTAATTAATCAAGATAGACGCGAATAGAATCCTACTGGAGCAAGGCATTGCTTCACACTCGTTGGACTTCTGAAAGTACAAGAAAACGCGCGTCAGCTTATTCCAAAAGAGTACCCATCGTAAAAATAGCAAAATTTTCAATCACTGTTCTCTCTAACTTGGAAACTTAAGTCTTATTTTTTAAATCATACGATTTCCTTGTTGGACAGCTAACAGATGAAATGTTTCGTTATTCATCGGCTCACCAATAATTGCCGAAGTTTAAAGAAGCCCTACAGGAAACCACGTGACAACCTGCAATCTGCCAACTTCTCTTAAACTAAAAGTATCAAGAAGAACTAGAAGGACTTGCTGCATCATGACTAAGGCGAATCAATTAAAACACTAAGGAAGCCTTAATTTAATCTGTTTATCGAGGAATCAGATCGTCAAGTGGATTGTGCTACATAGACAAAGTAATAGATCTACAAATTAAGTGTTTTTCACCCTATTTATCTATTTTTTTCACAATCAGTCTACAAAAAAAGTAAATGAAGCATTTCTACACCCTTATAAAATAATAGCACAACTGGTTCTCAAATACAAGTTGAAAGATTATCGGATACCAAATAACCCCCCCCCCTCCCATCCCCTCTGGGAAGAACTATTTTGTCAGTTAATAGTTGCAACTTCTACTACAGCACCTCAAGTTGAAAAATAGCTCGTCCAATTTTCAAAATCCCCTATTCATGATACTACTGTAATGTATAGAAGTAGGAAATCGATTTACATACCCGTAAATTCTTGTCAAGCCGCCAACAGCGGTAGTCGCCAAGCTCGTATCATCCAAATAGCCCTCATAGACCTTTAAACACTGAAGGATAGATTCCGCCGGAATATCTTGTCCAACGTGTTCAATGAACACGGCCCTGAAAGTCAAATTCAAATTCGATACGTAGAGAAGAGAGCTTACACGGATCGAGAAATGAATTTGAAATTAGTGCACATACATGGTAGTGAGGACTTTGGTCTTCAGGTCAGTGTCATTTTTACGTTCATTAAATTGGCTTAGAATTGCGGGAAATAGCCCAGTAAGATTGACGTTTTCGTCTATTAAAAAAAGACAAAGAAAAACCATGCGATTGGCTGGAATGGATATCATTAAAAGGCAAACAAAGAGTGATTGTACTTTTATCTCACGAATATTGATGCTAATTAAACAACATGTCTCATTAAACGGTAGAACTCAAAAAATGAGTCGGTGTTTTCTATCTTTATTGGGAAATTAAGTAGCAGGAATCTTCATAGAGAGGTTACTTAAGTAGACCTTTAGAGACTCGACGCAATGAGTCCACTGTCACAAAGGAGTGTGAGCTTTAAGGAGAACAAGGCTTTGGATTCGGTTTTCAGAAGAAAAATATACAAGAATGCAATACACAATTATTTCAGCCAACCTTTATCAATATAAAGATTCGGAAAAAAAGCCGAGAGATTAGCCATTTAATTATTTAATTAAAGATACTCTCAGCGTCAATTCACTAATTCAATCGGCAATAAACTAAGTTGTTGTCGAATGTTTAAGAGAACATATAATAACGGCATCTCCTAAGAGCAAACATCAAAGGTTTAAAATCTATCGTCGTGAATGACCAAGTTCAATGACAATGTTAAGATAAAGCAACGAGCATACGCAGAGGTCGCCTTTGAACAAGAACTTGAACGAATTCCATTCCCTCCGATCTAATGCGGTGAAACGGATCTGATAAGGCCTTTATGGAAACCTAAAAATGGGGGAAATGGCCGATCCAAACGAAGTTGGTTTCAGTATAAGCGTGGTAATAAAAACAAACGACTCATACCGAATTAAGTTGATCGGCAAACTTAGCATAAGTTGCATATTCATGAGTTTTAACGAGATGAACCAACAGCTTCAAGAGATCGATCTTCCAAGTGTTTCTCTCAGCACCCTCACTGTGAGAAACAAAAAAAAGAGATTTAGAATGTTCAAATACACTACTAACGGAAATCATTAGTAGCCTGCTCACTTAAAGTCCTGTTCAACCATTTTGAAGATCAATTCAAGATGATCGCCTAAGTAACCCGGTAAGGTGGTAGCTAGACGATTGATCATTGTTATACAAAGCGGATGCAGATTCGGAATCATCTATAATGGGCATTAAAAAGGTGAAATAAAGCAGTACTACTTATAAGCAGAAAGTAGATAAGCGCACAAACCCTCAAGGTAGCCGTCTTGCTCTTATCTCGTTTAATGGTGGAGGAAAGGAGGAAGGGGGTCAAGTTGATGAAGAGTTTAGGCAGAAGGCGGGTTAATAACTTCGGAGATGACCTACGAATCATAAAATAAATTAATTATTTAAATGACTTCCACGAATTATTTGACAAATGAATGGAAACTAACTTACATTTCTTCTTCTAATTTCAATTTCAGTGTGCTCACATTTTTCAAAGCCGTCGCCTTTATGAAAGAACACAGGCAAGTAATAATGTCCACTATTGTAGTTTCATTTGTTTCCTCTAAAAGAAGCAAAATAAGAAAGTTAACCAAAAGCACAATTAAGAACAGATAAAGAGCATCAAAAAAAAGAAAAAAACACAATTTAGATTAATGATAATGTAATAAAAATAATACTATGATTCGCAAAAGATGGTCGGTGGAATAATGAGAATTTCATGGTTAAGATACTCCAAGTTCCCGCCTGGTTAAGAAGTTTGTAGTACTTGGAGACTGGCTCATATGGTCAACTCAGCCTGTGTATAGAACCACCACTACCAACTCCCCATCTCCTCACATTGACAATGGAGCACCCCAAGAACACGAAATCAGCCAACTGCCTTATCGTAATTGATTTCGTTTTGGTGTAGCTCAGTGCTAACACCACCCCCCTCCTCTCTAAATTCCTCCTACTTTTCCAGCGTTCTCTTCCTCTCTCTCACTACTTCATTTTTCCGCTGATTCAATATACTCTAGAAGGACTCCTCAATCCCGCTAACCTTAAGGCGATCAATCGTGTCAAGAGGGAATATCTAGAATAACTTGTCTGGGGAAAAATCAATCTTACATGGGATTAGAAAAATTTGGAGTTCAAGGAAGCTGAAGGAATTTCTCCGATCAAATATTGCTCTAGATAGAATATAAGGAAATGTGGAACCATGAGGATTTCAGCCTTGAAAATCAAGATTTCTACATATGAGTTTTTAGTATTTCTAAAACCAACACAATTTGAGATATGTTGAAAAGAAAATATTTCGTCTCAAGAATGGTAAGCCACCCTAAAAAAGGTGATAAAAAATGGCTTACCAATAACTTCATTTTTTTACTTTTAAAACATTATACTGAAAAATAAAACTTATCTACACATAGAAAATACTGATATTTCGTAGTATTTTAACCTTTTAACGTCCGATTAATTTTTTTAACAAATGCACCCAACCGCACTCATGCGTGTCTCACAGCAGCAGACTGATGCCGCCAAAGTGATGAGTTTTGGTGGAATACCATACGAAGGCCATAGACACGTATTGAACATGTTTCAAGCAGCAATAGTGCCGCTCCTTTTATGGGTCTAGTGTCAATGGAGCTTATTTTGAAAGAGAACTGTACGGTCCTAAGGGCACTAAAGGGGGTTAAGCCGCTAGCATAGGACGAGAGGCTACTTTGAAATTCCATTGCAATTCAACCCAAAAAAATAGTTAATATGGTAAATGAGCACGTCTACCCTACTAGAGATCGAGATAACATGGCCATATTCTCACACTAACACTAATAAAATTAGTACCACCATTATTGACCTATCAGTCGTCATGTTTTCACTAGACGAAATCACATTTGTTTGCTTCATGCAAAACTGTTGTTCACGGTCCGGATCCTCTCCCTTGCTTCTATCTTATTAAACGCTGGCAGCAGCGTCATAAACACAACCTTCCAGTTGTGTTTGGATTCACTTAGAGTACTTCCAGCAAATTCAGCTAGTTCTAAAAAGCCAACTCAATATTCAATAGCACACCTGAATAATTTATATGACCTTGTTAAACGCTTGCAAAATGGGTAAAACTTCATCATAAACATAAAATAATAAACTTACTGGGCAGACGATTGACAAGACTATAGGAGAGCAAGGCGTAGAGACGCTGGAGTTTTTCTGGGTAGCCACGAATGATGCTATCAACAACACGTACAGCGCCCCTTCGAACTTTCCAGCTTGAATCCTCCATTTCTTCATCGTAATAATCGTCGTCATCACTGTCAACAAGGAGGTCATAGCCATCCTCGACGTCATCTTCAACTTCCATTCTACAAGGAGGAGATAAGAAGTGATGGAAAAGAAGTGGCCATGAGTTATGAGTCAGTCTAATGTAGAGGAAAGAGCTTACGCGTTGGAGGACTTGAGATTATCGTAGTTAACAAATTCACCGAGCTTCTCGATAATCTAGAGAACAAAATGATATCGATGATGATGATTATACAGATTCTCAACTGATTCTAGGAATGAATGATACAAGGAAGGGGTGTGCGATAGACTTGCCTCCACGTGGTGCACCTGGGCAACGTATACTCATACGGCAAAAAAGTCTATTAACGGGCAGTTGACTTCTGACTTCAAACTGTCATGACCCCATTGTATGTCATATTCCACCACTTCCTCACCTTTTTCCTACCTTTTCTAACTTCGTCTTTGTAACTCTTCTGTTCCTCCCCCTCCCCTCTCGAATGTTTTTCACTATGATGCTCCTTCCCCTCTGTGAAGCTTGAAGTCAACTAAAGAGCTAATGATAGCCATCAAAACGCCTGCCATTTGATATGGATGAATGAATGATACAAGGATTAATTTCAAGGTGAATTCTAAGTATAATAATCAGGAAAATTGAAGAAAGAATCATCGATTTTTGAATAGAATACTTCAAATAGGAAAAGGATCTGAATTAAAATGGCCTAATGATTTAGAAGGGATGACGTTTGACCTTGAAATCGGTCTGTATTTGTTCGTATTGTTTACACTTTTCTTAAACCACTTCGTACCCCCCCCCCT